ATGTATGAGGATGCAAGAGCCAGCGTGGGAAGTGTTGTCTGGATGGTCAGATCTATAAGTGATGTAGTCACGTATGTAGAATTGTGTCCGTTGAGTGAAGTGAGTTTCTGTCACGATGTCAATATAATTGTCATGGAGAAATATGTCTAGTTCGTCACGGTGGTTTTGTAGTCCGTTAGCGTTCCATAAGAGGATAGCTAGGGGCTTTGTATTCATCGGAAGTTAAACGGGATTTCGGAAAGGAGTCTTGTGAGAAGAGTAATAAGCGGTTTGATAGTCTGTTGAAGATCTATCAGGAATGATGATAGGATAGAGTTGATGTCGGATGATGTTTGGCTGGGAAGTGGATTTAGGTCGTGATGAGTAATCTATGCGAATAGGATTGCTGGGTGGAGGGTGGGTCCGACGTGGGGTACGAGGAGTAGGATCTAAATTCTGTTGGACTTGTGATGGGAGGTTCATCTTGGGAGTAGGAACGAGTGGAGCTGGGTGTGGGTGCTCTGGCGGGAGTTTGACCCTTAAGGGTAGCTGATGGGGAGGGATTGGCTGACGAGGCTGTCGAGGTTGAGTATTAGAGCTTTTGGGCTTGGATTGGGAGGTTTGAGGCGCCTGACTATGAGGCTGCTTCTTAATGATGCAAGGCTGCCATTGAGAAGTTCTTGAATTCTGTTGAGGATAATCCTTAAGTGTAGAGATGGATGGTTGTTGTTGGACGGCGATGGAAGGTGAAGTCGGCAAAGCTGGGAAAGTTTCCTGATTTTCAATTTCAGGTGGCTCAAGACAAGTTTTTTGAGCAGGTCCAAGGGTTTTCGTCGCTAAGTTGCGTGATCTCTGTTTGTGAAGATTTTTATATACCTCACAACATCTATAGCTTGCAGGGTGGGCTTCACCACAAAGAGCACATGTAGCGGGCTCATCTTTTGGCCTCTGGCAAGTGCCTGAAGCGTGAAAACCGGCGCATTTAACACATCTGGCCTCGTGATGGCAATATGTCTTCGTATGCCCTAAGTTTTGACACTTAGTGCATTGTACTATTAGGGGCTTCTGCCTTGGTTCTTCAAATCGTACTGTCGAGTATACTAAACGTTGAACCTGAAATATTTCATTATTCGTTTTTGCTGGTTCCAAATCTATAAAGAATAATGGAAGCGGATATCTTTCCCTAGGATGTAGTACGGGTGCTATGTGCCTGACGTTAAGACCGATTTCTTCCAGGCCTGTTTTGATGACAGATATGGGAGTGGTTGGATGTAGACCTCTCAGGACTACTCGATACGCCTTGTCCTGTTTCAATTGGTAACAATGGAAGTCGTAGTTTTTGGAAGTTAAATGGCTAATCAATTTTTTATAGTTTTCTCTAGAGTTCGTGTTTATTTTAATGTCATTGATTCGATAGAAGCAGCGAAAATTTGGCTGTCCGATTAGTTTAGCAATTTCTTGACCAAACGACACGAAGTTCTCAATTTTTCAAACAAAAACAGGTGGCGGTTCGGGGTCAGAAAAATCTTGAAGCTTCGGAATCTTGCTTGATAAATTGTTATCGAGAATAGTATTCTTGCTGGCTGAGGTGCTTGGTGCAGTTGGCTCTGATTGTGTGACGTTAGATTTACTCCTCGTTTTAGGTGGAGATTTTTCTTGTTCTGCTAGCTTATTTGATTTGTTTGATTTATTTTTTGTTTTTTTCTTATTTGGTGAGTTGCTTCCCGAACCGGGAGCGGAGTTTCGGACACGGTTTTGGAGCGTACGTCTTTTTAAGTATTGCGAGTCAGTCTCGCTAATTTCTGAAAAGGGCGTCTCGTTCTCCGAGTCTTCACAAGAAGTGTTCTTATCCAAATCCATGGATTTATCCATGGTGGATAAATGAGTGTGAGAGAAAGAGAAAAAAAAATGTTTTTTAAACCTAAATATTAAAATGAAAATTATAAGATAGCTTCTTAAGAACTAAACTATTTACAAATTATATACAGATATAATATAAAATAATTCATTTCAGAATTAATTAATGAGAAAATAAAATAAAAGTTTCCTGAAAAATATTAAAAATATAAAGAGAAAAAAAAGAGAAAAAGAAAAAAAAAAAAACCTAAATGTCTTGGATTCGAACTGTGAACAAAGCCGAAGAATGTTAGTATACACAGAGCCGAGTCTTGACCGTAACTTATTACAGATAAGGTAAACCCGTAAGGGATTACGGGCCACTTGGGCTTGCCAAACGAGCACTAATTTATTACTGCTTCATTGTTAATCAATAATTACTAACCTGAACATATGTGACATAAAATGTACCACTGCTTATATAGTCACTGTTGATATAGTCTTACACCAGAATTTTAAATAATAACCACATTACATAGTAACAAATACAGAGCGACGTGAATCTTCAACTGCACTTGCGGCCATGACACTTGCTACTTGTTAAGATTAAATTGAATATTTTATAACATACTGGAAGGAGTGAAATTCCTCGATAGTTATTACAACCCGTCCTCGGATCCTTTTTGTGAATCGGGATAAGAACAGAATCTTTCCATTCTTCAGGTAATTTCTCATTCTCCCAGATTTTTATAACCAACACACGTGTTTCAGAAACGCCAGCTTCCCCGCATGCCTTAATTAGTTCACTAGGAATACTATCGGTTCCCGTTGCTTTGTAAGATTTTAGTTTTACGATAGCTACTTCAATATCCTCTTTATTCAGTTCTTTCATTAATGCTACTCAGAAGGAGGACACAGATCATAATTTACAGTATTTAAAATACTTTCAAAGTGGTTCTTAAACTTATTTAATATGTCTACCTCCGGTTCTGCTTCTCATGAATTCAAATCCTATTCCTAACCCTCTCCTACATTACTGATTACAGGGCAAGTAAACTGGGGCAACTTTTGGCATGACCTAGAAAATAGTCTGGATTTAAATTTTTCGTTAAAAACTACAACGCAGATTCAGCTATTGAAGAATTCACAAGAAATTTAGAAATAACCATGAATAACACGTCACAACCTAAAACTAGAAACCAATTAGCCTTATCATCTTAATATAATACAACAGAAAAACGATGGGCAAGAGTAAAGTGGCATAAAACCGGATATCCATCGGACAATATTCTTTACAATAAATTGACAAACAAACTTAAAATAGAAATCAGAATTCAAAAAATTCAAAATTTTCAGAACAAAACAGAAAACCTAACTACCAATGACAAATCATTATGGATAACCACAAAAAAGCTACTCAATTTCAAAACTTTTAACCATCCTCTCCTCACTGAATCTCAGACCTGGTTAAGATCCGATGAAGAAAAGACTCAAATATTTGGTGAACACCTTTTCAAAACTTTTAACCCTCATCCTGATATCCTCAATCCTACTCATCTTGAAGCAGAACTAACTAGAACTTTTCAAATGTTGCTTCTTCATAAAGCATTCCATCTTTCTGAAATAATTAACATAATTCAGAAATTACAGTCCAAAAAAGCTCTTGATCACGATCTCATCACCTCCCGAATCCTAAAGCAACTTCCTCGAAAAGCTGTCCATCTTATCACCTTTATATATAACGCCGTACTTAGAACCACCTATTTTCCTGATTCTTGGAAATGCTCCATAATAAAAATGATTTTAAAACCCAAAAAGCCACCTGAATACCCATCCTCTTAACGTCCTATCTCTTTACTTCCCATCAAGGGCGAAAAGCTGAAAAACTTATATTAAAACAAAACGCCTTTACTCAATCCTAGACTCAAATCACTTGATTAGACCATCAGTTTGAATTTCGAACATCTCATTCCACTATTCAGCAGGGCCATCGTGTGATAGATGTCATTTCCTCAACACTGGAGCGCGCAATTTACTGCACGGCAGCTTTTCTCGATCTGGAACAGGCTTCTGATCGAGTTTGGCATTCAGGTCTACCGTCAATTCCTGCCCCCTACATATTTCCTATTAACCCGCTCTTACTTTACAGATAGAATCTGCAAAGTAAATTGTAACTCTGCTTATTGGTCTCTTTTTTCTCAGTCCGCTGGTGTTTCTCAAGGGAGCGTCTTAGGTCCCATCCTTTACACACATCCGACACAGCCTGGTCATCCGCGAAACCTGTGAGGACCACACAATATTGGTTATTCCTTAATTTGTATCCAAATTTCTTGGAAAAGTCCTCATCGCACAGGTCGCGGTAGAGATGGTCGATGGCCAGGTTGAAGAGTGAAGACAACAGAGGGCCGCCTTGGGGTACACCGCGCAGCACTTTGATCTGGCTAGACACCATGGACACCATTACTAATCTTGATAGTGTTCGTGCTAAGGAGAGCTCATATGACATTTTTAAGATTCGGTGACACACCTCTCGCTTCTAAGGAGCTTACGATGTGTTTTTGGCCGACACACTAAATTTTATGTTTTAAAATTTACTAAGTAATCAAAGAAACTTTCACGGGGCGTAGTTTGGAGACCCCTGATCTAACCTAACCTATAATATTATATAGGCTTTTCATCGAGGGTTGCCTTTTCATGGCAGGGCTGAGCTCCAGAGCCCCAAACCAATCTCCATCTTGAAGACCTGAAGACCGACTAGGCCAGCCATCTCTTCCTCCACTGTATGTACCCCACCTTTTTTTGGGTCGTTATCGCCTCCGTCTTCTCGATGGCTGCCAATCAAAAATTCGATTAGGGCATCGCTCGCTAGACAGTCGTCTTACATGGCCGTACTGCATCACATCGACCTTCGCAGTCCAATTCGCGAATAAAATTTTCTTCATTCAATTCTTGGATAATCTTAAAAGACGAGTCGTTTCTCCGACTATATTTATATACTGCCAGAAATGTGTGAAAAAGTAGTGGCTAGTGATGATTATTAATTTGAATAATATGTTTTTTACCACTTACTTTAAAAAACAACACTAATTTTCACAAAAAACAGTGAGAATTTATTCAAGACCTTAATATATTACAATAAATATACACACAAAACCAAGAATAAATTTAAGGATTGACATACTAACCTGGTAGTCGGCTGAAGAACAAGATGAGGAGGAACCCAGAACTTGACTCTCAGCAAAAACCTGAACGGCTGTACTCCCAACACCTGACGCTCAATAGGGTTACGCAGATTTAGCCAGAACTCTTCCCCTTTAGCTGTGGTTTGCTTCAGCCCAAAGTAATCCATCTCAGCTCTTATACCAATCTGTTCGCATGCCTAAGAAAAAAAAATCACTACCGTAATGACAAACATTATATAAATAGATTAACTATCACAATGCTTTTCATAGGAAATCCTTACTTATAGGAATTTTTGTTTTTCATAAGTGCGATGTACCAAGGCCATCTATATGAACAATTAAAGTTCATATTATCATTGGTATACTAATTTCACACATTCTTTTCATGGATTAAATCGGTTGGAAGTTCAGTCAATATAAGATAAAAATATAAGCATAGGATATTTAAATTATGAATGTTTACAACGAATAAAGAATTTATCACATGATTTTTGTCTTTTTCTTCATCTTTAACATTTTCTAGCTTTTATATCTTTATTTATTTATGAATTTATGCAATACATAGATAGATATAAATGTTAATGTACAAGGATTATGTTTAATAATTAAAAATGTACATAGGTGTGAATGTGTTTTATTTATTTTATTATCATTCGGCTTTAATCTGTTATTTTACTTATCTTGTATATTACTTTATCTTTATATATATATATATATATATATATATATATATATATATATATATATCTTTTTTTCTTTCTCTTCTTACTTGTTTATTTTTATTTATTTTCCTTTCTTATGTACATATTGTGTGAATGAATACTATAGCCCTAGTACCAATGCCCTTTAGTGTGGCAGACTATATTAATACTCAATAAAAAAAATAAAATAATAATGAAGCTGTTTAGGTATATTCCCGGCCATAAGCGCAGACTTTCCATTTTTGAATTTTGATTGTGGGAGGGGGCGATGGAACAAATAAAAATGGCGGTAGTTCATATTATGTGTAAAAATTAAATATAATTATTGTGAAACGAACAAATATAATATTGAATATTTAAAAAAAAATCAGACCATCAAAGAACTGAAGCGGGGAGGGGAAGCACGCAGCCTTCCACAAGTGGCAGTCCCACAACCGTGCTCGAGTCCTGAAGGCTAATTGCCTCCTGACCTGAAATTATTTCATTACAAGAATAGAAAGAAAAAGAGCCGGACAGATTTTATGGAACCCGACAAGGCGAGGAAAAAGGTTTTACAGATTTGGGACGTGGAACGTAAGAAGTCTTAAAGGAAAAGAACCTTAACTGATAGGAGAAATGAAACGGGCCAAGGTAGATACACTAACAATCACGGAAACAAAATGGAAAGGCCAAGGCGAGATAATAAGATAAAAACACAGAAGAGAGCAGCGGGAGAAGTTAGTTGTATTTTTCACAAAAGATGGAAATACAGAATAATATTCAAGACCCCTATCAATAACAGGCTTATGACAGTGATGATGGAGGAGGATGGACGGCAGTTATATATAATTATAGCCTATGGCCTAAATGAAGACGCATACCAAGCAGACAAGAAATATTCTTCGAAGCTGTGCAAACCATAATTGACAACTCAGAAGGTATCCCTATTGTAGTAGGGGATTTGAATGGGAGAGTGGGAAGAAATGCGACAAACTAGCAAGGAGTAATAGATATGCATGGAGAAGACACCATAAATAATAATGGAGAAATGATTTTAAACTTGGTCTTAGATAACGATCTGGTTGTGGCGAATACTCTCAAACCACACAAAAGTATTCATAAGTATACTAGAGCTGAGCCGAGCAGATGCGAGAAGTCCATAATTGATTATTTCATGATCCCAAGAAACATTATAAAGGAATTAACAGATATAAGGGTAAAAAGAAGCTACGAAATAGAGAGCGACCACTATCTACTAATTATGGACACGTTGTGGATAAGAAGGAACGGGCCGCCGTACAAGGAGGTCACCGTGGTTGTCACAGGAAATAAAGGAGAACATAAAGCGGAAAAAAGATTTATGGAAGCATTATTTTGCCACAGAAAATCCAGTGGACTATGATACTTATAAAAATCTGGTGCGGTGCGCATATCACACAACTTTCACTTACCACCCTCTTCTCAGCAGAAAACAATATTTTCAGACAAAGGAGAAGTTAAAGTAAAAATTATAGACGCAATATTTATATTTCATTGCGGGTATTTTTATTTGTATAAGTACCCTTATACATCCAAATTTTAATATTGATATCGGTGTAATCTATACAATTAAATATTAAATAATACCAACAATAGCAATTATGAAAACCGCATATGTATATTTATATAACATTGTCGGAGTCCATATTATATTAAGCTCATGTTACGTATGGAAGCCTGTTATAATCTTTCGGGCGAGCTCTTGGGTGCGATCAATTACAACTATTCTCGTTACGATTTTTTATTTCTGCTTCAGTTAAGTATCAAATTATTTCATATTTTATATATAACTATCTTTTATATTAGATATTAATGTGAAATAGTCAATTGTTTCAAATAAAACAAATTAAAGGTACTTTAGAGGAAGCTAATATTGCAAATTAGCCATTTAAGCCGTGTCAGAGAACATCAATCAGCATAAAAACTACATTTTATTTAAAACTGCCTAATTTTACACTGATATAAAGAATTTAATCAAAATCGTTAAGAGCCGTTTCCGAGAAAATTGTAAAAATGTGTTTAGCCCAAGATATAAAGTGCCACTTCCTGTCAGTCGATTTTTACGAAAAAGTTACTGTAACATCCCTAGCATATAAAAACCTTAAATATGAAATTTCAATTTCGTACGACTTTTCGTTTTTGAGCTAGACTGTTAACACACACACACACACACACACACACACACACACACACACACACACACACACACACACACACACACACACACACACACAAAAACAGACCATTTTGTGGGACTTGGTTATTTGGACTCAAGGGACCTCAAAACGTGTATTTCCGTTGTAAACTGAGATACAAACATTTTCACGATCGCAATACTTTCCTTTACTATATATATCATATATAGGTTAGTGAAAGTAAAAATGAAAGAAAGATAGTGAAGGTATCTGTAATCCAAGTAAAGAGAAAGGGATGGCAGGAATTCGGAGAGAAATTAGAGCTTAATTTCAAATAAAACCAAACACTATTCTACAAAGTGCTAAAATTCATCGTGAAGGAGTGGGAGCTAGAGCTAAAATTTATCAAGGACAGAAGTGGAAAACTTTTGAATAAAAGCAACATTATAATGGACCGGTGGAAAGAATACTTCCAGGAGCTACTTGCTGGAATTAACATTAAGAATAGGTCCAATGGTGACAACCATGAACAGCAGAGAATATGGGAAGACGACGGCTTTATAGATGAAGAAGAGTTAGATGAAGCACTACAAAATATGACGGTAAAAGTAGCAGGTAGAGATGGTACATCACCTGAAATGCTCCGATACATGGGAGAATATGGAAGGAAAATTCTTATCAATCTTATCAACCTAATTTGAGGGATAAAAGAATACCAAAAGGTTGGGACTTTTCCAATATTGTTCTAATATACAAGAAAGGAAATAATAGAAAGTGCGAAAATCATAGAGGAATTTCGTTAAACAGGCGTTTGACACCCGGGACTGCTGTAAAAGCTCCATACATTCCTATCACCTGCATACTTCCTCATTATCCTTTCCTACCTTACTGATACATAGTTTAAAGTAAATCACAAAAATGCCTACTTATCCCTCTTTTCCCGGTCTGCAGGTATTCCTCAAGGTAGTATACTAAGTCTGCTACCTAGTATCCCAGTAGTAAGGCAGTGTCCTAGTATACTACCTAGGTCCTAGTAAAGGTAGTTTAATTGTAGTTTCCTTATACAGTTTACACAGCTGACATTCCAACACTGTCATCACCACATATGGTGATGAAATACGTATCCTATCAGTTAATAACGACCCATAAATTCTCTCTTCAACCACACATCACAAACCTTGAAGAATGGTGTCAAAACTGGGGAATTAAAATAAATCTCATCAAATTACCTTTACCTTTCCTCATAAACCTATGACTTCCTGTGATACAGTATCCTTTAGCAATACCCTACTTATTTCTGTTGAACAAATCCGTTAACTAGGACTCCATCTGGACAAACATCTAACTTGGAATCCTCATACCAGACTAAAAAGACGAGAAACCGCTCGATGTTTCCGACTACTTTAGCACTTACTAGACAAACGATCTAAACTCTCAATAAACTACAAAAGACTCGTATGCATGATTATATTAAGGCCTATTTGGACATATGGAGTTGAGCTTTGGGACTCCACTAAACCATCAAATTCCTCTTGTATCCAATCCTTCGTAAAATCCCCAATGCTCTTTACTTTGAAACAAATAAAATAATCCATAAAGACCTTAATGTTCCATATGTTACCGATTTGGCCCAATCCAGATACACTTCTTTCCATAATAAACTTCAAAACCATCCTAATCCTCTCGTTTCCAACCTTGCTTCCTCTTCGATCCCTGATAACACCCTGAAGTGTCTGAAAAGAAGATGGCCTCGAGATCTCCTAATTTAGGTACTTTATTAGATTGCTACTAATAGGTAGATTCTCTACAATTCTTTTGATGCTATTGTATTTCTCTGTACACATTTACTAGATGTATATTAATATTATACAGTTGCAAATTTCATGAATAAATAATATATAAAACGCAGTTCTTTCTTCTTGTTTTCATTTTCTTTGTCAAGTTAACAGCTGATAGCTAAGGGTTGGTAAAAATGGAGCGTTATACAAGCGAACAACGTGTTTTCATTGTTGAAAAATATTTTAAAATAATGAGTCTTTCGGCCACTTGTCTTGCTTCGATATAGACACTTGAACTGCTAGTGTTTAGCAGACTAGTGTGTTTAATTTACTTCCTAATTCCTCCCATCCCTTCCTCTTTTCCAGGATTACAGCTGCCTTCACTATCTTTCTTTCATTTTTATAAGTATCATAGTCCGCTGGATTTTTTGTGGCAAAGTAATGCTCCCATAAATCTTTTTTCTCCTTCTTTCTGCGACCACCAACTAAATGCGATTTCCTGCCATCGTATTATCTAGCCCCTTTGTCCCATATTAAGATGAGTTTACACAGATTTATACCACTC